AACTCTAGCAAAAACATCCCTCAGTTACTTCCCTACCTCCTTCACTACCTCCCTTCAGGCTTTCTTCCCATTCCCTTTCTCTGTCTGTCTGACTTGCTCACTGAACTGGAAAATAAATGCAATGGAGCTTCTTCCTTCGCCACCAAGCACGGAGCTCTCTCATGGTATAGCAATTTAATTGCTATTGGACATTATTAGATGCTTTTTTAAATTGCTCTTTTAAATTGCTGTAAGCCGTCCTGAGATATTTATACAAAGGACGGCATACAAACGTTTTTAATAAATAAATAATAATTAATATCTGTCCCAACAGCAGTAATTGTATTTTCCATAAATACCATGAGAGAGCTCCGTGCATAACTGAAGGGATCCAAGTGTAGATCCAGCCCTTGTCAACTTGCTTGAACAATCAGATAGTGCACAGTGTAGTACAAGCGGATCGGTGGGCTTAGATAGAAAATGGTGTCATAGAGGGCAGGATGAGTTCAGCTCAGGTCAGCTATAAAAATGAGAGTTCCAAACCTTGGATTGTTGAGTAGCTGGTACATCCACAAGGCATCATCAACTCTTAAACTTCTACTTTGGAGGTTTTCTTTTTAATAGTAGAAAATACAGATGTTAAATTAGGAAGCCCTGTGCTGTCACTTATTGTCATTGTTCTTCTGTTCTATGCATTTGAGCTCTGCATAGAAATATGGATTGGTTCCACCATTTCCATTTAAAAAAATGTTTCCACATGCCTGAAATGTGTTTGTATGTGCCTGAGTATCTCTGCCCTGCATGGGCTTTCTGATGTTTTTGTTTTTATGTAAATACAGTGGCATTCAGGATATCCAAATCAGAGCAAAGCAGTGGTGTTCCCTTTCCCCACTTTCTGTTAATCCTATTCAGAAGCTGCTGTGCACCCTATTTATGGAGGCTGGGGTTGTGTTGATTGTATATTTATATTTAATATTACATATTGCTGTATAGAACTTCTTCAACCATTTGTGGGGGGTTAGCAATATTAATACAAATGATTACCATTATTATACCCCTTCCTCCATTAAGGCTAATCCCAGTATTTCTTGACACCTACTCAATAGCTTATGTTGTCCCTTCAAAGAGATCTTGCATTTAGCTTCTTTGATTCTTACAGGAAGTTGTTTAAGCTGTCCAGCACCTGTAACTTTAAGTGAAAACTAGAGGCATTCCATCCAAAGATTATTAGAGCAATGTCAGCAAGCAACATTTTTAAAAGGCCCACCACCTATACATGTGCAGACAGTACACCTTAGAACCGACTTTACTAGACAGACAAGCAGGTCAATAGCTGGAAGGAGAAATATCCATCTCTCTTGATCCTGTGAAAGGCTGCAGTTAAAATTTCAGAATGATATTCAGGTTGAAATGGAATTGCTTCATAGGCTTGCTGTCAAAACCTGCCTGTGTGACGTAACCTCGTGATCCAGTTCAGATTACCCATCCTGCTGCCTCTTTCTGATATGCCCCCTCCAAATCGGATGCTATCTGCTTTAGGCTGGTTTGTGTGAAAACGGCTGTGAGGCGGATTTGCTTTATTGCTAATTAATTGCCTCTCTTTCGCTTTAATACTTACCAAAATAGATGGCTTGGAACACTCCACTGCAATGAAATGCATCGAATACCCTCAGACATGCACTCACCTCCGACATGAGCAAAGGATTCTCTGTCTTTAGATTTTGCATCTCTCCTCTTTGACTGCCTCCCTCTTAGCCTGCAGCACACGCACTGCTGAGGGAAGCACCGAGGATCCTGGCAGATGGAGGCTGATGACGAAGGGGGAAATCGCAGGCCGCATTTTTATCAGCTTGAAGGCTCTCATTGTTTGCTTGCAGTTCCGTATCTTGGGTATGCCCTGTTTATTCATAGGCATATCGCAGTGACGATTTACAAAATTACTGGTTTTCCGTAGTCAGCAACGTGCTCGTTTTAAGGGGGAGAGGGCATCGAATAGCAGCTGTGGGGAAATTTAAATTGAAACCTTTCCCCCGCAGCACAGAGATAGAAGTCATTGTGTGAGACCTTTCCTGTGTAGCATGGCGTTTGCTATATCTTGCTTTTAAAAAGTGCCTGAGCATTAACAGGTGGAAGAAATGTTCGTTGTGATCATGGTTTTCATGCCTGCCTTGCATTTCCTGCTTTCAAACTCTTTGCTCTTGTCCTGAGCAGCTTGTACAAGCCAGCAGAACAGTTCGTAGTACCACACAAGCAAAAAGGTGCCACTTTTGTGCTTATCTCAGCATTTTTCTGTTCCTTCTGCTCCTAATTTTAACCCTGAGGCCATACTCAGCCAAATTCAGCCAGCTTCTGAATTAAAATAAATGCAAATATATATGTAGGCACCCAGGCCCAAACCTAGGAAAGAATCCTGTGGGCAGAACTGGGGCAGAAGCCGGTAACTCTTGGAGCATGGGAGGGGAGCTTGACAAGTACTGGAATTAACTGGCTTTTCAGACTCCAGCCCTGGGTACCTGAGAGAGTACTGCTGACTGATCAGACTAGTGAAGTGCAGGCTGCTTGGCAGCAATGCTTAATATAGTACAATCTATGTAAAATATTCCTGGAGAGGCTATCCAGCCATGTTTGAAATCATGGCTCCCAGCTAGGCACTGGCCCTTTGAATTCCTGCTAGCTGTCACCCCAGGAGCAAAGTGCCTGGCCAGCACAGATGAAAAGCATAGTTGGGCCTGAGCCTTGCTGAAAAGGCCTACCCATTTTTCTCTCTTTTTGGCTTTCTTTCATGTAAGCAAATCTAAGGATAGAACTGGAGGTGGGTTATACATGCAGGATGCTAACAAAGAGAGGGAAACCATTCAAACAACTAGATTAAGCAGGTGGTACCATCCTTATAACCCTGAGCGGTTTTTCTCTTGTTACTTTCATTCATTGACTTTCCCTAAGCTAAGGAAGGTGTTTATGGAATTGTGCTTCCAGATTATTCCCTTGAATAGCTGGATAGGAGGTGTTCTGATGTTCCCATATTTCAACATAAACATTGTAAATGTAGAGTTCCACAGAGAGAGAATATGACAGATTCTTTATACTTCTGGGAAGTGCATGCCCGCCCCAGTAAAAGATTTCTTGCACCTTTGCTCAGAGGGATGTCTGATACAACTTCAGTTGAGCAACTGTGTGGACTACTTGTACATACAGTTCCTTGTGTAATAATCAAGTAGCCTTATTTTTAGTGGCTGCTAAAAAAAAAAAATAGAGCAAAGGTCCTAAAAATGGTCCCTATGTCTAATCATTATTTCTTGGTCTGGAAATCTAAGGCATTGGATCTCTTGATTTTTGGTTACCTGTAAGAACTTCCATTCAGCCTGGAACAGATGCTTTGCGTTCATAGCTATAGAAGGAGAACTCTTAGGGTTCATATTTGAAAAGGCGTGTCTAGAATAGTAGGGACTGAGGGCCCTTGCATCAGTAGGGGGGACTCCTTTGGGATGATGCAACCGCACCAGTAAAGTGTGTCCCATTTCTTAGGGACACTTGATACACGTCTGTGTGTTTCTTGATTGCTCAAGAGTACAAACAGGCAATTGAAAAGTATCGCATGGTATAGGTGACATGAAAGTTCCGTCGGTGATGTGGGAGCTCTGATAGCTTATTCATACATGCAGGTTATCTGGAGCAGATTATCAAGCAGTTAGTCTGCAAACATCTTGAAAACAATGGAGCCAACATAGATTTCCAAGAACAAATCCTGCTGGACTAATCCGATTTCATTTTTGGAATGGGTAACCTCCCTGATAGACTGTGAAAATGCTGTGGGCATAAAGCTTTTGACAGAGTTGCCCATGAAATCCTGATTAGCAAGCTAGCAAGGTGGGGGGGGGGTAGATGGAGCAATGAACTTATGGATGCACAGTTGGCCACATAATTGGACTGAAAGAGTGCTCATCAAATGGCAGCTTCTCAAACTGAGGAGGTAACAGGTGGGATACCACAGAGTTCAGGGTATGTCCAGTGCTCTTCAACATTTTTATTAATGACTTGAAAGAGGAAGTGGAGGGAATGATTATCAAATTTGCAGATGTCACAAAACTGGGCGGGAGAGCTAATACTCTGGAAGACAGAAAGAAGATTCAAGGTGATTTTGATAGTTTTGAGCACTTGGCTGAGTGAAATTCAGTTGGGACAAATGCCAAGTTCTGCACGGGGGAAACCAAATGCATCATTGCAAGATGGGGAATACTTGGCTCAACAATACTACAGGTGAGACAGATTTTACAATTGTTGTAGAGCACAAGCTGAATATGTTTCAACAATGTGATGTGGTTGCAAAAAGGGCAAATGCTATTTTAGGCTGCATTAATAGAAGTATCACTTCCAAATCACATGAAATACTAGTTTGCATTGACACAGCACTGGCTAGGCCTCATCCAGAGTGCTATGTCCAGTTCTGGGTGCCACGGTTTAAGAAAGTTGCAGACAAGCTGGACAGAGTTCAAAGAAGGGCAACAAGGACTTGAAACAAAGCCCTATGAGAAGATATTGAAAGAACTGGGCATGTTTAGCCTCGAGAAGAAAAGACTGGGGGGAAATACAATAGCTTTGTACAAGTACTTGAAGGGTGGTCACAAAGAGGAAGCACAGAATCTCTTCTTGATCATCCCAGAGTGCAGGGCATAGAATAATTGGTTCATGTTACGGGAAGCCAGATTCTGGCTAGATATCAGGAAAAACTTGCTGACTTTTAGAGCTTTATAACAATGGAACCAATGATCTAGGGAAGTTGTGGACTCTTCCACACTAGAGGTGTTTAAGATATAACTGGACAGGCTTCTGAGAGGGATAGTCCTTTACTGAGCAGGGGGTTGGACCCATTGGCCTTCTGGGCCCTTTCAATGCTATTATTCTGGGATTCTATGATTTCAGCAGGTGATGAATACGCACAGGTGAACCAGCCCATAGTGTTTATACTTGATGGAAAATTGACTTGTTTCCAGTGGATCAATCTGTTCTGTTTTATTTTTCAGAGTGTCAAATGGAACACTGCAGTACAATTTCACCAGCTTGGATAACTTCATGGCTCTTCTCTGGGAAAATAAGCTACAGCCAGGTTAATCTAGTCATTTTTTAAAAACTTGCCTAATGTGTACAAGTTCCAGCTAAAGGGCTTCGGAATTCTGTATAGTAGTTTGCTTAAATCAAGGCGCTGGGTGTTGTAATTCATTTTTTGTTAAATTCACACCACTCCAGTCGCATGTTTGCAGTGCCTCAGGCACAAGGGAAAGTTGCAAGGTTCAACCAGGTTTTCCATAACGTTGGTGGTGAAGTGTTTGCTGCCAGCTTTTATTTCAGGACCCCAAGTAAATCCATAGAGCTAGCACCCTTTTTGTAACTTGAATGCTGTGACAAGGTCTACCTCTAGAGTGGTTGTGCTGTTGAATATTAGAAGGCCTGCTACTGTGGTCTGTTCCATGTGGCATTATTTCTCATGATTCCCATTAGTTAAATGAAGCTGCCACATGTCAGGTAAGGTCCTTGGTCTGTCTAGCCTAGAGCTGTCCATTCTGATCTGCAGATGCTCTCCAAGGGTCCAAGCCAAGGTTCTTCCCAACCCAGCCATCAAAGTCCTTTAATTGAAGATGGCAGAGGCTGAATTTGGAATCCCTGCCTTACAAACCATGTGCTTTCACACAGAGCATTCACTCTCTCCCATACTGCCTTTATAAGTAGTTAGGAAATGGTCACAGATATTTTTATAATGAGAATGAGGAGAGAATGAGCACTACCCTGACGGGGTGAGTAAATTTCATGTCTGGGTTGTATCGCTTGCATGACTGGTATGTTTCTGCATATCAAAAAATTCCCCACATTAAAAATACTTATTATTTTAAAAGATGCATTTTCCCACATTAAAAAACTCACAGGAAAATGTCAGGGGTAGTACTATGTTTCCTCTAAAAGCATGAGAAGCCCCCTGTTAAATTCTTACTCCAAGCGTGATTAGCAAACTATAAACTTACTTTACCACCCTGTGTGTCCTGGGTGCAGGCCAAGTACATAATTGTGCTACCCAGCCATGAGGTGAGGAACTGGAGAGAGCAGGTTTCTGGCATGGTTTACAAACCACCTAAACTCATGGCTTGTTCTAGGATTTCAGGGTGGTTTTCAACCACCCACCTTTACTGGGTTCAGAAAATTTGATAACCCAGTCCTAGTGAGGGTAGCTTTGATAGGTGGCTCACAGCAAGCACACATGCCTTGTTTTCCCTTTGTGCTCATACAAACCCGGACAGTCTCTCTCATTCTTTCAGTCCCTCCCATCCATCTGTGATAAAACTGAACTGGAATACATATCCTGTGTGGTTTTTGTTCAGATTTTGGGAACATATACAGAGTGCTTTGGAAACACTCCTCATAAAACAGGCCAATTCTATATGGTCTACCCAGAAGGAAGTCTCATTATGTTCAGTGGAGCTTACTCCCAGGTAACTGTGTATACAATTCCAGGCTAAATATTGTTATTACTGTAGTTCTTGGGTGCATATCCTTTGCAGCCTCCCTGCTTCTCTTATCATATGGGCACAAATAATAAGAGCTAAACTTAAAATGCTTATGTGATTCAGTGATAAAGTGCCATATAGAGGCCCAAAGGGCCATTTTAGGCCCGATGTTTTGAAGCTATATGGATCTGAATGGCTGTACCCGCCTCCAAACCATTATTACAAAGTGTGAGCACGTGTGTTTTAATTCTCCTCCATATGCAAGCTGCCAAACTGAGTAAGGTATGTGGGCTCTGGTATCAGAGCCCTGTCTGAGCACCCTCATGGTCCCCGGAGTCCCCTTTGGCTCATGGAACTGAGCCCATAGTTCCTTGGGCATGAGAAATAATGCCCAAGTGGTGCTAAAGGAGGTCTGGTGACTGTAAACTGAAAAATACTTAATACATGACAGAACAGTCTGTGTTTCTTTGTACTAAACTAAGGATTTGAATTGATGGGAAGTCCTTCAGGATACTTCACAGACTTTGAAGATAAAAAACAGGTGATCGAGTGGAAGAACCTGATTACCCAGTTGGCCAAGAGATACATAGGTGAGTGAAAAAAAGTATTTCTCAGTTCAATATAGGTGTGAAAACATTTTACAAGCCATGTCAAAGAAAAGTGCATTACTTTTAATAAAGATACCATTCTGTAATTGGCCATTGCTTTGGTGATCTGTGGTTGATAGTTGGATAGCGAAGATTTCTTCAGAATCCAGGCTATCTTCTCTACATCGGTCTTCTCACACACCGCCCTCGCTTAGAAAGTGGACCAAGGTGAGAAGAAGTCCGTAAACACTCGCAGCAGTCCAGTTGCACAACCTGCAACCTTCCGCGGCAGCATGTGTGGCATTCATGAATTCCTGGTGGGCACCCACACAAACACCCAGTGTGCTCACCAGGAAGTCGGACTCGCAGCCACAACAAAGTGGTCCAGAGTCTGGGGAGCCAAGCCCAGAGAATCCGATGGATTCCCGTCCCCAAAACAGATTCCTCACACATTCTAGTTTATAGTTCACTTGGGTATAGTAGCAGTGGGAGGTAAGGAGAACATCTGGAGGGAATTCCATAATCAAAGGGCCTCAGCAGATGGAGCCCCTAGGCCAGACTTTAGACTACAGAGCCCGAGAGAGACCAAGCAAGCTGTATAGCATGGATGGAGAACTCAAGTTCATGGGCCTAATCTAGCCCTCCTGGGGTTCCAGTCCACCCTTTGGGAGTCCTCAGAAAACCACACCCCCTTTCCTCTGACTACTGGTCATTTTCTACTTTTTGCAGAGGTTTTCCCCTACTGAGAAGTTGAAATGCCTTTCCTTGATGCTTAATTAGTAGCAGTGAGAGCTTTAAGTGAAAGTATGCTAACATTTTGGCCCTGCACCTTTGGCCTTCAGTCCTGCAATGCAGCATCTGAGAGCTTCTCCAAAATGAAGTCTGGCCCTTGGGCTGAAAGAGGTTCTCTACTGCAAGATCTGGCTGGTCCCAGAAATTGAATAATTATCGATGAATGTGTACCTATCCTCAGTTGTGTGTGAAGATAAGTTTGTTGCACGTACACAAAAGATGCTTTGGAACAACACTTCTTCAATGCGGATGTTTGGTTGTGGCCAGATATAAGAGTATTGTATACTACCCAAAGCTATAATTAATGCAAGTTTCGTTTCTAGAATGGTACGGATTGGAACATGTTTCTAAATGGAACTTTGAGACTTGGAATGAGCCTGACCACCATGACTTTGACAATGTGACCATGACAATTGATGGTAAGCTACTTTGAGCCCCTTCAGATTTTAATGATTTAAAATGGGCTGAGGGAAATGATGCATACAAGTAAACAACTGTGGCATTTTAGATCCTACAAGCCTAATACATTTTGTCTTCTCACCCAAATTTTGCATTTACCATTCATATTCTTCAAAGCCAAGTCACAGGACAGGACTCAAGGGTGTCTGGAGGAATATTATTTAGAATGAGCTGTGTAAAACATACATAATTGGGAGGCACAGTCCAAAAATTCCTGAAGGCTGGTCCAGACAGGGGAAGGCTGGTTTATGATGCTGCAACTGAGAGTCTAGGAGCATGGTTTCATTCTTCATACGAATTGCCATTATTGTCCTAGCCAAGCCTCAGTTCTGCTTTTTAAAGGCTTTAAAAAAGGATCTTCTTTCTCCAAATGTGTGGGGGAACCCACACTTTATTTTCCACAACTGCCCTGCGCTATCAAGTAGGCTATGGCAAGGATTCTCAAAGATTTATGGAGTGCAGAGTGACCTGACAGACAGCTGCAAATGCTTCATGTGGGGCTTGCTATAGTGCCATGACTTTTTGAGATGTATTTGAAGTACCTTTATGCTGCTTCTGGAGCATCAGAATGTAATCCAGTGCTGCTCATGTTAATGAAGTTGCAATGAAGTTAGCCATCTATAGGCACAACGTTGATACTGCTTTTGTTGATGTTTAGATATGCCAACACATTTTGTATGTCTGAGTTGAAACAGGTACATTCAAATCTATGTTGCTACACATGGGGCGGCATAAAAATGTTTTAATAAATAAATAAATAAATAAAATTCTTCCATTTGGTGTCATTTTGCTGGAAGCTTGCAGTGTCAAAGAAATGAAAGCAAGAAACACCAATAGTGCCATGGGTTCCCCTGGAAAACTCAGTGTTCCAGGCAGTGCTGCTGGAGTTGCTTTAGGCAGGTTTATGGCAATGCAATGCTATCAGAGGTAGCAATAATACAGTGTTGGATATGCTAGTCTGAGAATACCAGTGCTCTGAGGAGTCTTTGGTAATTGTATGCTGGGGAAGTGATGGTAGCTAGAAGGAAGGGCAGATGGATGGAAAGAGCCTCAAATGGTTTTTCTTTCTTTTTTTCACTGCAGAGGGAGATTGTGTATCTTGAGAGTACGTGCCTTTTTATTCATAATATTTAATTAAGATGTTTTGGACTACAACTTCCATGATCCCTCACATATTGGTTGTGCAAGCGAGGGCTAGTGGCCATTTCAGACCAAAACATCTGGAGAGTGAACCCTGCATGATGAGATGTTTTCAGGACGGATTGCTCAATAAAACAGGTTAAAACTAACAATGATCTTGCAGTCAAAGTTGAAAAGGCAGATTCCTTTTATCCTCTTGGCTATGCTTTCTATTCTTCCCCCTGCCCTCATTACAGTCAGAGCCATATCTCTGTGTCTGGTCATACGAATATTGATGTTAAGGTAAATGCTGATTTGTTGCTGTCATCATCAGCTCCAAATGACAGGAAGCAGAAATCCTTTGAGGGATTATCCCAAAAAGAGGGATTATCCCAAGAAAGTGTGCCTATTTCAGTGGAAGAAGAGATTGTTTCATCCAACATTTATGTTTTTTTTTTTAATTGAGCCCTCTCTAAATGAAAGACAGACAGGTGGAAAATAAGTACTCACAAGGGACAAGGAAAAATAGACAACTGTGAGACACATCCAGATTCTCTACAGGTGTGGTTTAACCTGCCTGTTTACTAAGGCTCCTAGCTTGTCATTCACTGCCTGCCCCCCCCCCCATATATATATATAAAAATCCAACCCCAGGTGGCACTGTGGTACAGCTGCAGTTCTCAGTAGAATTTCAGGGTGTTTCCTTCCAGTTTGTTTCATATTTTAAAATTAATATCTGATTTTCCATGCTCTGAAAAGGGCATGACAACGTCTGGAAAACATGGGAGAGGCTCTGGAGGGTGATGGCATTGTGAGAAGGCTCTGCTAACTTCTATAGAATGATCATTAGTGCACAGTAAATAGAACCCTCGCTCATCAATGGGGCTTCCATGTGACTCAGTCTGGATCCAGCCCGGCATGTTTATACTGCATCTCTTTTTGTTTCTAAGCTGCATAATTTTATTTGGGAAAGAAAGTCATAAAACAGGGGCCCTTTGCTTATATCTAATAGCACCGTGGACAAGGAGTGGTGAGAACCAGTGTGGTATAGTGGTTAGAGTGCTGGACTGGAACTCTGGAGACCCAGGCATTAGTTCCCATTCAGCCATGAAGCCAACTGGGTGACTTTACCAGTCACTGGCTCTTATTTATTTATGTATTTATTCATTCACTCATTAAAACTTTTTTATACCGTCCCATACTTAGATGTCTCGGGATGGTTTACAGCCAATTAATACTAAAATAGAAATAAAAATAACAGTTGCCCAGCAGTCAATGTTAAAATATAAACCCATTAAATAAAACAAGTTAACAATACTGGGAGAATAAAACGGTTTTCGACTGGCGCCAAAAGGAAAGAAGTGTTGGCGCCAGGCGAACCTCTCTGGGGAGCATGTTCCACAGTCAGGGTGCCACTGCAGAGAAGGCCCTCCTCTGGGTAGTCACCCTCTTGATCTCTTTCAAGGACGGCTCCTGGAGGAGAGCCGCTGACTCAGATCTCAAGGGGTGGGAGGGCACATAGGGGAGAAGGCTCTCCTTCAGGTATCCTGGACCCAGGACTCTTAACCTAGCCTACCTCGTAGGGGTGTTGAGAGGACAGAATAGAGAAGGAGAGGAAAATAATGTAAAGCTCATTGGGAGAAAGGCAGGATCTAAATATAATTTTTATTTTTATTTTATTTAGTAAACTTCTATGCCGCCCCATTCGCTGAAGCCTCGGGGTGGCTTACAACAATAAATAAATACATATAATCATATAAAAACAATATAATTGGAAACGCCCTGGCCAAAGATATAAAATCAATAAATAAGCTAACAATTAAAATGCCGTTTAAATAAAAAGGTCTTGGCCTGGCGCCGAAAAACATATAACGACAGCGCCAGGCGGACCTCTCTGGGGAGCGCATTCCATAACTTAGGCGCCACCACAGAAAAAGCCCTCCTCTGGGTACTTACCCTCCCAATATCCTTCATGGAGGGTTCCCAGAGAAGGGCCTCTCCCGCTGATCTCAAGGAACGGGAGGGCATGTATGGACGTAACCACTCCTTTAGGTAACCAGGACCCAAGTCGTTAAGGGTTTTATAGGTGATAACCAACACCTTGAATTGGGCCTGGACTTCAATGGGGAGCCAGTGGAGTTGATGGAGGACTGGAGTCATGTGAACATAACGCCCAGTCCCCATCAGTAGCCTGGCAGCTCTGTTTTGCACCAATTGAAGTATCCGGACCGTCTTCAAGGGCAGCCCCACATAGAGCGCATTGCAGAAGTCTAATCGGGAAGTTACCAACTCGTGTGTCACTGTTGCCAGGTAGTCTTTCTCCAGGTAGGGACGCAGCTGATGGATCAGCTGAAGCTGAAAGAAAGTGCTCCTCGCCACCGCTGTCACCTGAGCTTCCAACGAAAGCTCTGGGTCGAGGAGCACTCCCAAGCTGCGGACCTTGTCCCTAAGAGGGAGTGCAACCCCATTCAGGACTAGGTTCAATTCACCCTCACCGAAGCCCAGTCCACCTACCAACAGGACCTCTGTCTTGTCTGGATTGAGCTTCAGTTTATTGGCCCTCATCCAGCCCATTACCTCGGCCAGGCACTGGTTCAGTACAGCCACTGCCTCACCTGGATTGGTAGAAAACAAGAGGTAGAGCTGGGTATCATCAGCGTATAATAATAAAAATGAAAGGCTGTGGTGTTCAACCTCAACACTATGTGATAGTCTGATGATCATAAGTTTGAGAAGTGCTGGTAGGCAGAAGCCAGCATGGTATGAATGAGAAATCAGTGCACTTGCCTTCTGTGATATTTGAGCTCTTGTAATTCTTTCTAAATATATATCTATACCCATGCATTCTTATCTCTGGCTCACTGCAATGAGGACTAGAAACCTGCTTTTAAACATGCTTGTGTCAAGGTGCTGCTGCAGCTTCTAGTTGAGGTTATAGTCCTGATCACCAGCCACCCAGATCTCTAGACCATCCTACTGGTATTACACTTCTGCCTATTCACCTTAGCATTGCAAATGCAGTTGGATATACCCCTTTACCAATGTTTAATTCCTGTATATTCTGAAGGATGAGACATTTTCCTCTCTTAATGGCAAGATATTGCTGTTGAAAGGCAAGATGACTCTCCCATTTTGCTCCTAGGGTTTCTCAACTACTATGATGCTTGTTCAGAAGGGTTAAGACAAGCTAGTTCTCAGCTGAAACTGGGAGGCCCTGGAGACTCCTTCCACCCTTTTCCAAAGTCCCCCATGTGCTGGAGCCTCCTCAGCCACTGCTACAATGGAACCAATTTCTTCACTGGAGAGACAGGTGTCCGGCTGGATTACATTGCCATGCACAAGAAGGTCAGTGCACTGTTTCTAACTGCTGTTGAAGGAATCAATTCAAAAGTCCCCGTTCCCAGTCAAATGCTCACAGGGAATTGCCTCTACACTCTAAAAAAGAAGTTGCTAAGTGGCAGAAAGCTTCTGGGCTGAATTCAAAAAGCGGCAGAGATTCTTCTCTTCATTCCCCCTGGGATGTACGCAGCAAGCCCTGGACTGTTCAGAATGCTTCACGTACATGATTGGATCAGATCTGGGGGCTGATGGACATGCTTAGAATGTGGAGTGTGTCGCGGGCGCTCTTGCCTTGCCCATCCATAACATGGCTGCTGGAGTGGCCACACACTCACTTCCCAGAAGCCAAACTGGCCACTTGCCTGAGAAACCGAGTGGAGTCCATATTCCCAGGCACAAACCTCCTTTGTGAATGCAGATAAAGATGGTGTTGGAGGGCAGCCCTGTGCGTTAACAGTAAGCTAGCATGACTGTTTTTTTCTTTAAAAAAAATCAATACTTTTTAAGATGCTAATTTAAAAAAAACAAAACAAAACAGAGAGGCAGGAAATCTGACAGGTACCAAGAGAGCTGCAAATGGGTGCCCACAGGTACTGCTCCGGAGACCTCAGCATAACCTTGCAGCATTCCATAAAGTTGCCTTGTCTTGTGGGCCAGGAGAGGCCAGCCGTCTCATACAAACCGGAGAGCTGTTGGTCATTGCTGCATTTCCTCCCACAGGGAGCTGGGAGTTCACTGCACATCCTAGAACAGGAGATTGAGGCTGTGGGACAGATCCAGAAGCTCTTTCCCAGTTTTGCCTCCATGCCCATTTACAATGACGAGGCAGACCCGCTGGTGGGGTGGTCGGTGCCACAGCCGTGGAGAGCGGACGTGACCTACGCAGCTATGGTGGTGAAGGTAAGACCGAGCTTCCTCTTCCATGTTGGAGCATGTGCTGATCTCAAAAGCTAGAGCACCCACTGAGGAAGAGATTTGTTCGTAGAGCTGGGGAAGTAACCAGCCAAAGAAATTGCTGACAGCTTCTCTGACTTGGGTTAAAGCTGTACTGGCAAAAATGGGCATGGAAGCAGCAAACCAGGAAGACAGAGGATTTACAGCTAGAAAGGGGGTGATTCGGGGTGTGCCGAGAGGAATACTGGGCATCGTCTCTCTCCCTTGCTCATTGTTCATACTCAGTATCGATACCCATCCTCTGGTAAGCAGAGTCTGGTGAGTGGGGAGCAGATCAAAAGGATTCTTGCCAAGCCCTCTGAAATCTGGTGTCAGTCCTGCAATAGTTTGTCTTTTTTAAAACTATGGTCCTGGGTTCAAACATAACCATGGCTTACATAGTGCAGCAGCTCTCCTAGCGACACCAGTAGTCTGCAAAAGCCCAGGAATTCCTTGGACCAATTTGTTACTTTATAATCACGAACTGTTCTGAAATATCCCTGCAACAGCCCCAGAAAGCACACAAAGAGGCTGAAAGGCCCTTCTGGATAAAAGGTTGCTGCCTGGTGCGTGAACCTGCCACCAGCTGCCCTTCGGTCGCAGCAGCGTCAGCTTTGACTTGTGCCCCCCCGCCCCCCGATGGAGGCAGCCACACTGCAGCTTGCGATTTTCCAGGAATGTGCAAGCCTTTGCCTCCTTGGCTACTGTGTCCTGACAACTCACAAGCTCGGTTGAACAGTGCTGCCTTGTAAGGCAGTGGTAAGGAGCCAGTTTAAGCTGTGGGGACAAATGACACGCCCATTGCGCCTTCCACAGGGCAAATAATGCCATTTTGCTCGCTCGCTCACGTACCTTTGACTTTTTTCAATTTTGCCTTGCCTCAGTTCCTGGCCAGAGCATCAGCTGGAGCTTCCTGAGTCACTGCTTTGGTTGGGGGCTGGCTTCTCATCCCATTGCAAATGATGCGGGGTGGGCAAAGCCCTCTGGCTGAACCACTGAGGATCATCGCTTTGGTTGGGGGCTGGCTTCTCATCCCATTGAGGATCACGCAGGGCAGGCAAAGCGCTTGGCACGCCCCTTCCTCTCCCAGTGGTGCTAAGTGTAACTTGGATCAGAGATAACTTGGAGATTGCAAACCAACTCCCCGGTTTTGCAGGTCTGTCATGGAAACCTCCCTTTTCTTTGTTGACCTTTCGAGGCACAGTCCTAGGGGATTGTTGGCTAGAGAATGCTGGCAGTTGTAGGACTTTTCCTCTGTCTAACCGTGCATAGAACTGTGCCCTGATTTCAACAGGGCATTAGGCCTAGGCAAAATATCCCAATCGTATCCCAGGTGTCATTGCAATGTTATTTGGCCCTGGGTTGAACCCAGGCAAATTTTATGGCAAACTTGGCACAGTTGCTTTTTTAAAGGGCTCCTGGGACACTCCTGCATTTGAGCAGTGCAGTGGGAAAGGTCTCAATTTCTGGGGGAGGAAATGAAATGAAATAAGCTTTTTACATGCAAGCACACACTTAGTTCCAAAATTGTGCCATATAGGTGCCTGGTCACTAGTGATTTCATGAGCATTATCTAGTGGTAGCTTATGGGGCGAAACACATGGCCTGTGAACTCATAAGATCCATTTTTTGCTGGGCTGTACCATTTCAGGCTGCAAGTGGGAGACTGCACATTGGAATGTGTTGCCATGTTGAAAGGAAAAGGTTCTCTTTGCGTCGAAGTTTCTCAACCTGAGGCTAGCAAATGACCAAAAGATTAACTGTATGCAGGCCATCAGCTGTGGAAACGGTTGCTTAGCATGAGAAAAAAGAAAAGAAAAAAGCAGCTTTGGAAATCTAGACTTGCTGTGTAAAAAGCACAAGATGGCATCATTTCTCCCATTGACAGCCAGCACTGCTGCCCAGCAATTGACTCAAGGTGTTGACAGAGCAAGCTCAGAGGGAGAAAATGTGGCTCCGGAGATGCTAAAGGTCTCTTTGTATATTCTGTAGCTTCAGATGTGTTCGATGCGGCTCTCACCTGCAGCCAGGAGCCGCAGTCAATCTCAGCTCCCTGTTGTGAGTACATACCGATATAATTAGGCGAGGTAGCAGGAGAGAGAGAAAAAGGGGAAGAGCAATTCTGCACGTCTCTCCCTGGCATGGACACACGATACCTTTGCAACCTACACAGCTATTGAAGAAAGGTCATGGTCTGTGTGCTGTTTTGCTAAATAAAGAGAAGGATGGCAGATGTGCGCAGGCATCCTCTTCTCCAAGCTGGGACTGCAGGGTGTGGGTGTGAGGAAGGGCATGCTCTGAACCAGAGAGATGGTGAGTTACTTTCTGCACAGATGGGACTAAGCCAGGCAACGCACTTGGTCCTTCACAACCTCCCACCCATGGAAGCAGTTATCTGCAGAAGGCCAGCAACTCCTGGAATTCCATGAGGAGGACCCGGGAAATGCCACATGTTCCTCCACTGATGCTCCCTGTATCCTCTTAGAGCAGCAGTGGGCAGAAGGCAGACCATGATCCACAGAGCACCGCAAACAGATGTAAAACTTTACAAGGCTTCTAAAGCTTTTCATAGTTTGTTGCTTTGTGTTTCCTGTTACTGACTTTTGTAAGGTTTTCTGGGAGCACCTTTCATGCAGAGGCAAGGATAAAAATGCCAGTAACATAGGAAGTAGTATGCATTATATACTGATGAAGTGCTTAGGTTGGGGGCAGGTAGCCAGCCTTGAGCCTGAATCCTTTAGGACTTCATAGCACAATGGAGGAAGATTTCAGGAGGCGAGAAGGAAAAATGATGTTAATTTCCCTGCTGGAAAGGCTCACTTCCTCTGGTCCAGGCTGAGTAGAGCCCAGTACAAAGGGGGACCCATTAGGTGCATCCGATCTGGCACCTCCACTTGCCCATCTATAAAAGCTAGCTCCCAAAGTTGCATCATACTGGCTGCCCACCTCCAGGCCCATTTTTGCCCCTGATGGCCACATGGGGTGCAAAGTGGTGGGTTGAGGACCGAGGATGGTGATGGGTATGGCCAGGGGCAGGGTCCCCGTCACCCTTTCTGTCACTCACACACACAGCCTCCCCCTCCTCTGTCAGTCTCTTTCTCATACACACCTGCCCCCTTTCCCACACGCAGAGCCAGACTCACACTCCCTTCACCCCGTCTCAGCATGTGGGAATGAGGAGATATAAACCTCCCCTTCCCATGTGCTGACTTCCCAACTTGCACCCTTGGTTCCCTGCTACACTACCTGTGGGCACTTTTCCCAGCAGCCAGCAGCTGATGGAGGGAAGAGTCACAACTGAAATAGGGAGGGTGGCACAGGGACGAGATAGCTGCCCGCCACATGCCTTCTTTCCCAGCTGAACTGCATGCTGGCCAGTCTGGCAAGGGGGGACGTGGCTGGCTGGTTAGTCCACCTTCCGACTGGGGAGTTAGCTCTGCGGCGAGGGCTGTTTTCACGTGTCTCCTCCCAGTCACAGTCTTCTCTCCCCCAGCCTGCCAAACAGCTGAGCTTGGGGAGAACTGGGGACATGACTAAGAAATCAAATTCTTTGTGGGACTCTTTTCTTTCTAAGTATGCATAGGCTCATGCCCTAAGAGTGCTAAAAATGGTAGCTACTTAGTGACAGCCATCCTGGGGGTGCACCCCTTGGCCCTGTGCAATGCCACTCGAACTCCTTAGTTCCTGACGTGAAAAGCATTTTTGCAGAACACTGTTAATGCAGAGCCGGTCATTTCTGAAAAATGAACTTGCTGCTCTGTGTCTTTTGGCATGGAGCATTAATCCTTTTACCTCTGATTAGTTGCACCACTGCAATCCTCCTCTTAAATTCCTAATTTTAGCAAGGCTAGGAAATTAGGTCAGCAAGAGCTTCTGGGTGGATCCTGATGCCACAGGATGAGAATGGTGCATTTATTGTTTTAAAGAAAGAGCTTGCATCCTGCATGTGGAGTGAATTCCTTCCACTCAAAGCAGTGTATTATCAACTCTACTGGGGTGTGTGTGTAGAAGAAACGCATGCACACGCATACCCAAACACAGCTTCTAGTCTTTGTGGTTGTACAAAAATGCTTAAAAATACTTAGTTCCTCAGTGCCTGCTGTAATTCCAGGAACCAAAGAGGTTGTTGCTTGGCATGTGGGAACGTCAGTGCTTCACTGCTTCCCATTACTAGCAAAAGCAGAATAATTGTGCAATTGCAGAATCAAATATGGCAAACTGCTTCATTTCAAGCTGCTTCATTGAAACAAGTTACAGAATTTGGGTTGCCCTGGGGCAGAATTTTGGTGACGTACAGCCTACCCTGGTTTCCTGATGTAATCATTTGGAATGAAACTCTTAATAGTATTTTTGTCCTGCTGTGAAGTGGTTGACAATATGGCAGACTTCATATTGTGTGTCACAGAGGTGTTTAATATCAGGTTCACCAGGTTTCCCTGTTTGGCCATCCCTCTTTCTTGGCCTGATGCCTGCTGATGGTTTGGTTGTTTCTGACACCTGTGTGTTTTTCCCAAGTCTAAGAGGTCAGAATGCCTCTCTAAAGGCTTAGAAAGCTGCCGTAAGAACTTAAGGTTGAAATAGATGCAATGTTACCAGTATCTTAGCTCCATCCACCACTGGACTGCTGTCTACATGAGAATTTAGCCCTATCTAGAAAATAGTTCAACACTGCTGACATATCTGCTAACTGATGCTTAGAGTCAAAGATTCTGTTCCTTTTCTTGACAGGTTATTGTCCAACATCAAAATCTACTGCTTGCACGAGCCAACAACACGATCAACTACACTTTGCTGAGCAATGACAATGCATTCATGAGCTACCACCCCTATTTCTTCACTCAAAGGACGCTGACGGCACGCTTTCAGATGAACAACACAAAGCCCCCGCATGTCCAGATGGTGCGGAAGCCGGTGCTCACAGTGATGGGCTTGCTGGCTCTGCTAGGTATAGCAAACACTTCTTCCGAACATCGCTTAGCACAGGCATGGGTGCCATTTTCCCATTTCCCAAGAGGAAGAGGCTGTTTCCTATTGGTCAACCAGTGTTCATCCAGCTGAACTCTAGTGAAAAGCAGGTTGCTCACCGGTTGCAATTCCCCATCATTCCCCCCACAATAATTCCTGAAAACCTACTACATGCCATGCACAGTTTTGTAGAAGAAAGGTGGTGGCTGGGATTGGTACTAGTAGACACAACTTGGAGAGCTGCAAGGCATAGGTTGAGGGAATCCTTTCTGAAGAACAGAGACAGGACCGATATCATAAGACCAGACTTCTGCAGCCAAACCACAGACACTTCAGTGCTTCTCAGATCTACAGGTCTAGATCATGCGGACCTTTCCTTTTCGCTCTGGCCATTCACCTGCTCTTTCAAAGCTCCTTTTGCCTCCAAGGCCCATTCCTGTGTCCTTCTCTTCCCCGCACTGCTCTAGATGGCCCCTCCTTCCAAGCATCAATGCTGAATCTTCTCAACCTCTCTGGGGCTGCTCCGCCGTCTTGTCCCTTTCCTATTCCTCTGCCTTTTCTGCCTGTGCTAGGGGCATCGAAGGCGGTCTTGGGGCCAGCATTCCAGTGTGGGTTGGGCTGACAGCAAAGTGGGGTGAGGCAAAAATGCTGAAAGGGCTATCCTGTTCTAACATAACATGGTTACTAGTAGTAATGAGGTTTTAGGAGAGGCATTTCACCCTTTTGGAAGGGGGGAAGTGACTGTACAAAGCAGGGCTTGGGGGAAGTGAGCATGGGCATCTGGGGAAGCTGAATGGATGGATTTGACTGCTTGGCCAGAGGTGCTGCATTCCATCTTCCAGCTTCTCCTTTTCAGTGTATGGCTCAATAGCAGCACCCATGTCTTTGTACATAGGCATCACTTCCAGAAGCAGAATTTGAAAACAAAGCGGCCAGAATGGGGTATAGGAAAGGGGTTCCTTGCTGTTAGGATTATTAGTCTGTAGGAGAACCTTCTGTGACTGGAGAGTTGCACCAGTTTCTACAACCTACCAGTTGCAGCCAAGTTTTATGGACGGAACCATACCTGGATAGTATGAATGTGAGCCCACTGTTAGGAATACAGTCAATCCCTGAGTTATGAACAAGTTCCATTTCTTAGAAAATGGAAATTCATCTTGAAATGGAATTTGCATGTAAATTGCTTCATGTATAGTCAGCTCTCCACATGCATGGGGATTAGGGATACAGGACTCCTGTGAAAGTAGAAAAACCACAAATACCTCTAGTCACCTGCTCAAACTCACCAGTGCTTCCTCTTTGCAGCAAGGAAATGCTGGAGGGATTTCCCTCTCCAAATCAATGGGGCAGGAAGGCGTGCTCTGGAGGTCTCCCTCTCTCCCTTTTCACTTCCTCTTCCTCTGTGGTGATGATGATTTTCTGCAGTATTTTTAAAAAATTTATAGGCTTCATGGCAGTTTGTTCATAAGTACGGGTTGCTCATAACTCGGATGTTCATAACTCAGGGATTGCGTGTATATAGAGAGAATCTCAGTCCAGCACTCTGCTGCCTGAATGGCCTTACTAAGGTCAGTATTCCTCTGCCTGTCCTTCCTCAGAAGACTGCTGTGAACCTACTTTGAGGTTCTTGAAGGAAGACCAGAAAGCAAATCCAACCAAATGATAAGGCACAATCCAGTGCTGGTTTAGACAGAAAACAAGACCCACAATTCCCAGCATGCCCCAGCCAGCCACGTAGGCCTCGTTTTCTGTCTAAACAAGCATAGGACTGTATCCCTAGCCAGCCTTTATTGATCTTGCCATTTTGATTTGAGTGGCCAACTACTTCGAAACCAGGTGGAACATATGAGGCTGACTTCATACCGAGTCAAACCACCGGTCTACTTCCAGACAAATATTATATTCTACACCCACCAGTAGGGTTTCCGAAAAGAGTCTTTCCCAGTCCAGCATGGAGATCCGGAGATGAGACCACCTGCATGCAAAGCAATAGTGCGAAAATATTTCCACTAGGTCTTTCCTAAGCATACATTTATTTTTTTTTGAGCTTGTCTCCTTCTTGTACAGGGGAGGAGCAAGTTTCTGCCAACATCTACAGCCATGAATCAGAAGACACTAACACTCTTGGGGTACTAGCCAGCCTGCACAAACCTGCCATGCCATGGCTGGCTGATAGCTGGCAGGCATCCATTTTGATCTATTCCAGCAACGATAACCAGACATCCTCAAACATCAGTGCCGTGGCAGTCAACGTTACCGGCTTCCCCAAACGAAAAGGTAAGATTGTAGCTGTCAGTATGCACCCAAGGCAGCCTTTCCCAAGCCCATTCTTTCCAGAGGTGTTGGACTGCAAGTCCCATCATTCCTAGCCAGTCTGAGATCCAAAACACAAACCAATCCTGTGCATGTAAATAAAGATAGCATGCTCATTCGCTCCTGCTGCTTGAAAGCAGCCCTCAAGGAACAAGCTGTGGGTTGTGTTCAGACATGCAGGCAGGTCCATATTTGGAAGATGCAGCTTCTGGCTTGATGCTGAACTAAAACCCAATGTTAAATTTTCACTTTCCCTTTGTCTTCCCAAAGAGATTGTGTATGTACTGTACTACTTGGATAACTACGTGACCAACCCATATTTGCAGTGGAAGAAACTGGGAGCTCCAGATTTTCCATCTCTGGCCCAATTTGAACAGATGAGAAATGCTGAGGTATAATCTATTTGTGGAATCTATTTGCATGCAATCTAATTCAGTGCTTATTTATGCAGAAGCAAATCCCAGTGGATTAATTGGAGCTTAAAATTGCAACCATGCATCCCTATCTTATACTTCCTTTAAAAAACACTTTTTAATCACAGCGTTTTCGTCACACACACATACTCCAAGAGGCTTCCCACAATGTTTAGTGGGACTTTGCTTCCTGGTTCTAAATGGCAGTTGTAACCTCACGCTGTAATTGTCTGGTTTTAAAAAGTGTTACATCTGGGTTTTTCTCCCCACTGCAGAAGTGGTGTCTCCTCAGAGCAGAAGTTCAACAGAAGTTCATCCATCAGATGATCTCCCTCACAGTTTCCTCACATGTTCAGCTGGATGCTGTTGCACTGGTCCTTTACCTCCCCGAATTTGCACTCCATGCTTACGGAACATGAGTTCTGGCCCATTGGATAAGACCAAGGGCTCCACCAAGCCCAACATTCACTTCCCATTGGATGCCTCTGGGAGCTTCTAAGCTGGAGAGAACACCAAAAGCTGCTTTTCTGTCATGCCCTGGTTTTAAAACCCTCTTATTAGCTCAGGGTCCCCAACCTTTTCAGAGAATGTTATGGGAGCTCTCACAAAATGGCTGCCATGGGGTGGGGTTTGTCCATTCATAAAATGGCTGCCTCAGTGACTGTGACTAGGAAATGAGTACTCTGTGACTAATTTCCTAGAAGAAACAGTTGAGACAAAAATGTTGAAGTGCTGGCCCAAGAACCAAAGCACAAGGCACAGGTGAGGTCTAAGCTCCAAAACACAAAACCACTCTTTTGTCCCCACCCTTGGAGGGGACAACTTCACTTTGCAGCATGCCAGCATACCAAATTAATATAATAATTACAAAAAGCTTAAGAAATAAAAATCAGGAAGGACAGGTAGCCAAAAGAACTATCCAGAGGCATGTTGGTACCAAAATGTGCCATGTTGGAAATCCTATTACAGAGTAAGCCGGATTAAATACACAAGGCTTTAATTCAAAGTGAAGATGTTTAGGATTGCAGCTAGTCTTATTGTTATCCTTAGGAAACCTAGAACACTTCTCACAGGAAATGAGCTCTAATACTCCCCCAAAGAGCATGCTTTGCTATTCTGTCCTTCGAGGTCATTAGTCTTCCTCTTAGGTGCTGTTTGGGCCTCGAGCAAAGCCAACACTCTGGTCTTTTCCTGCAGCTGTTCAAAACATCCTCCTCTTCCCCATTGCCCATTCCATTTGCCTGGCTCCTGTCCACCTTTCCTGAATGAGGCTTTGGGATTGGAGGGGGGATGAGCCAGGGTGAGGTTTTGCCCAAGAGGTTATAGCAGGAGCTCCATACCCCACTTGCAATCTCAGGGATTTCCCCCTCTCCCACCATAACAGTCTTGTAAACATTTCTTCAAGCATTTACGGCATACTCCCAGGGCAAGACTTGCACCTCCAGACTTGAACTGGCATAATACCGATTCCCTCTCCCCAGGGAACTCTGGGAGCTTTCGCTCCAAGTGAGGACTCTCTTTCAAAGAATTGCGGCCACCCCCACCAACCGCCAATCCACAGGATGCTTTGGGAGAAAGCCACAGCAGTTCAAGGGGTGTACAAGCCTCTAAAAGCATGTAGGACCATAGAAAGATCCCTAAAATGAGAGGGATGACCCTCACCACTACCACCTTTTTCTCTCCATTTCTACTCACCCATTTCTTATGCCTCTAGCATCCAGTTCCTTAAAGCGATGGCATTGTTAAGACTCCTCTCATCCTTTTTATGCTCTCCAGATGTTCGCTCCCTGGGAGAGGGACCTTTTCTGTACAGCTGACCCCACTGTATGCTGAGGAGGCTACGTAAATATTTGTACTAAGCTCATCTTAACAAGCAAACCCCACAGAAATGCCACCACTTTTGTTTTACTTCTGAGCTGTTCTTGATGTTCCTCCGTAAGCACATACCTGAACACTGGGAAGCTGTGTCCCACTGCTAGTCCTTGTAGGAAAGCTGAACCATGCTCAGTGGGTATTTTCATTTTTTATTATTTTTTAGCTAAGGGTAAAATTATAAGCAAACACATGGTTCAGAAGAGAATCGAAGGTTAACCTCTTCTGTGCCTGCAGTTCTCCCATGGAAACCACTCATCACTCCATAGTTATCAGGCCTACTTCTGGTTCTGGAGATCCATTGGGAGGGAAATTATTTTTAAAAGCCCACAGGGGCATTTCTGCAAGCAGGAAGTATCACTGACATGTGCCCACCATTGCTGAATCATTGCTGAAAATGTGCCTCTGAAGAAGGCATTTTCCAGAATGCACTGGGCCAACAAATCTCCCTCCTCTCCAGCCATCCCAACATCTGGAGTCTTTTCCTTTCCTTTTCCCGAAAGCACCAATTAGCCACAAAGCTCAGATGCTGCCTTTGTGCCAGTCACACTCTGTCTGCCTAACTTAGCAAATTATTGTGAAGTTAAAGGATAGATTTATTTATGCCTTTCTGAACTTGGTAGAAGATGGGCAGGATACAGAAGTAATAAACCCTCTTCAGGAATTGCAGTCAAGTCATGCGTGTAATTGGAATGTGAGTGAAGAGACTGGTGGACCAACAAATGCTTCTCACAAGCATCATTGTTGGAAAGAACTAAAACCGTAAATCAAACCACGCCTGCAGGAAAGGTGGGCAAGTTGGTCTCCTGTTTTCAAAGCTAAAGGCTCCTTCTGACATCACCTTGTTTTTTTGTTTTTTTGAGTGAGGAACTCAGCTGAAAAATATATCAAGATGCAGAATCCAGTTGGGTGTAAGTAATTGTAGGAATGATCTCAGTGCAGGAGTCAAGTATGCTGTAATCCCAGATTTCTCTCCCAAACAAGTATCATATTCAAGCGTGCTTTGTGTGTCTTCCTTCCTACACATCTATTTCCTAGCAAAGGGAAAATAATGCAAGAAAACTGGTTCAGATCCAGCTTTGCAGAGCTAAATTCTTTCTGGTTGCCTCGTCCTCCTTCAAAAAGTGCAGAACCATTAGGCTTCCCCCATCCAGGCCCTGATTAGACTGAGATCGGCTTAACTATGACAATGCAGTTGTATCATGTATAGAAACATAGAAATAGAGTCAGAGGGGGCCTCCTAGGCCATCTAGTCTGACCTGCAGCTCTGCTCATGACATGCCGAGGTTTCAGCAAGGGGCGGCATAGAAATGTTATAATAATAATAATAATAATAATAATGCCTACCATATCTTGTGAGCCCAGTCATATCTGCATGCTTAGCAGTAGGAGCTTACTGTGGAAGAGCTGTAGGTCACTGTACAGAAAAGCTGCTTGTTCAACGTGATTTGATTGCGTTTTGTAGGACCCTGTGGTGAAAGGGCCATTTCTGCTTCCTGCAAAAGGCCCTTTGATGCTGAAACAAGAACTCCCTGTTCCGGCGGTTTTCCTCATCCATTTCTGTGCAAAGCCTCTCTCGGCTCCCAGTCAGGTGAGCACCACGTCCTCTCTGTTCCCTCTTTACTTACCCTTGCAGAAACTGCAGTCAGATTCAAAACAAATATTTTGTTTGCTTGTTCTTCTGAACCCAGCTGAGAAGTCAAGAGAGCTGGAGATGCAGGTGTGTTTCAGACAACTCCCACAATGCTTCTGCTCTTGCAAGCTACCCATTCTGCAGCCCAGATTTGTTATTTGGTTCAAGGGGGACTTTCCCAAACTGTGCACTAAAACACCTATTCTTTTCTCCCATCCCGCTCCAAATATTTAGATAATCCATCAAAACAGTATGAGATTTGCAAAAGGAAAGCACCACTTTGCCAGTTACTCTGAAAGCTCACCAATAAAATAACACTGTGCCTCAGTTGTGCTATGGCTGGCTACAGGTGAGGCCACATGAGATGAAGGCCATTTCATGAAAAACCATTTCCACAGCATAGCTGGGAGAACAGGGTACCCAGTTTTCTGTAAAGGAGCAGAATTTCGCTAGGCACAAATGTTTTTTGCTAATCACCTTGAAATTACAATCTTCCCCCTCTCCTGGTAAAACATTTGTCAAGGGAGGGAGGAGGGTGTCATGCTGGGAACTGCCTCCCATGTAGTGGTGGCTGCCATACTTTCTGCACAGGGATGCTTGATCTCTGGCTTCACAAGGCAGGGGGAAGATCACAATTGGGAGCATGCTGCAGATCGCCCTAGGTCAGGTGCAGTCCTATGCAGCTCCCTCACTGAACGGAGAGCAAGGCACTGTTTCCAGTCCACGCTGCATTAAAGCTTTTTGAGAGCTCCAGGGGTCCAACAGAAGCCTATGATAAGCCTAATTGCACTGAAGGCAGGCACTTGGGAGGTGGCCCCGGGGAGTGTAGAGCTAACCATCCTTCCCCAACACTGCACCCCCTCCTTGAAAAATTGTTCCTTTCCTGATGCCAGAAGGCCTTTGTGGGGACAGGAAGCAACGAGTCTGTGTTGAGTGTCAGGGGAAAAGGGTTTCTGAACTTTGCTATGCAGCAGAGGACTCAGCCCACTGAATACTGAAGCACTTCTGAGTAAATGTTCATAAGATCACCCTTTTTCCAAAGCATTCCAATCAAGGGGTCACAGTAGCTCAAGCCTCTTTTCAAATGTCCGATTCAAGTGCTCCAAGGCCTCCTCCCAGGTGGAAATGGTGCACGTAGTGTGCATTTCCCACCGGAAATTCTTGGGCTGGTGTCTCTCAGGCCCTGGTAGGAAAAGAGGTTCAGCTTGGGCTCCTGCCACTCATCCCTGTCCGGGGTCTTCCCAGGTTTGGGAGCAGACGGGAGAGGACTTGCAGCAGGGCTGAGCTTCCCTTGGTCCTGCTTGCAAGTAATGGAGCAGGCTGCTTGTTTTTGCAGAGGTGCTCAGAGGCTTGCAACACGCCTCGTTCTGCTGGAGGGTGGAAGCAAGGGAGTGGCGAGTGGGCGTAAGCCACCCTCACAGCGGTGACTGTCACCCTGCTGTGTTACTCCGCCTGCATTATCTTCCTTTAAAAGGTCTTGGAGTGGGGAGCTAAGGAGATGGCTGCACCCTCCAGCCTCACACACGAACAGGGACATGAGCATTAGGAGGACTGTAGCCAGGTGGGAGAGCGCTTGCATCGCATGCAGAAGACTCCAGGTTCATTCCTCGGCATCTCCAGGCAAAACCTTGCCGGAAGCCCTGGAGAGCCGCTGCCAGTCCGTGTCGACAGTCCTGGCCTAGATGGACCAACAGTCTGAATCAGGATAAGGCAGCTTCCTACTCTGAAATGGTGCCTCAACTCTGAATTCAGCCATCGCCTTAATTAACTCATGTGAGTTGTGCGCTGAGTCAAAACAGTGCTGTTGATATTCCCAGTCAGCCAAACAGCCTCTGTGCCCTCATTATTTAGGTTGATGGATGAAGTATTATTATTAATTATTTTCTATACTGCCTATAGCTGAAGCTTTCTGGGTGGTTTGCAAGTATAAAATATTAAAATACAATAGATAAAACATTAACAAGAATTAAAAATAAATTTAAAATAGCATAGAAGAACATTAAGATAATGAAAATAAAATAAAAGTGGAACTTCCTCTGCAAACGCTTCTGCTATAATACATTTGTGAACCATTAAGGTGCCACAAGATTCTTTAAGGTGCAGCCCTCTGCATGTTTATAGACAGAAAAGACTCCCATGCAACTCACAGCATCAGTGTTTTTCTATCTAATCACGCAGAGGATTGTGCCTTTCATATTTTGTTGTAGCAGACTAACATGCTCACCCTTCTGGAAATGGATCTGTTTCTAAGTTCTCCTTGGTCCTGCTTTAATGAAATGGATCTTGACTCCAGTGTGTTGCATAACCTGAGCTAAGTCTCAGCTTGCACTTTTTGTACATGCACTGCATCACTGGCCAAAGGTATTTTGTCTTGCCAGGTGAATGGAGTCCGCTTCCTCGGTCTCACGAAGGGGCAAGTTCTGGTTGTGTGGGATGACAGCTGTGTGAATTCAAAGTAGGTGACACTACCCTTTCAATTCCATTTTCTCATTTTCAGTGTAAAAATTCATTTAATAGCATCATACATTTTGCAAGCTGAGATCCTCTGATGAATCACAATCAGAGAGTCCAAGCCCCACCCAGCCCCACAAGACTGCAGAGCAATGGGACTAAATCAATGTGCTTCTGCTCAATTATTTATGTTATATTATGGATAATGCACCATGTCCTCTCAGAGCAGATCCATTCGAATGAATGAGACTGGACAAACTAGCTTATGTTTGAGTCATTTCACTGGACTCCCATTGCATACTATTGTAAACTAGGGTTCCTCCCTTCACACATTCCTTGCAAAATGTTCTTGATTGACCAAAGTGTTTTCCGGAAGCAGAAACACCCAGAATGAATCTCTGAGCATGTACAGACTAGTTCAACGAACCCTTTCTAGTATTCACTTCCAGGAACTCTCCTTATGAGCAAGCCTGGGCCCCATTCCTTTGTGGGGGGACTTCTGAAAGCAAGCATGTCTCCTTGCTGCACACTGATCTTCTGATTGGGCTGCCCTCTTCTGCTGATGGCATGCCCACCTCGTCTGTCTCTGAGAAGCCCCCCTGTTCCAAGCCCCTTCCCAGTCATTGTGCATCTTGGTCACTCTCAGAGGCTGCCTGCCCACCTGGGGAGCCCGGCCTTGAGATAAGCGTGTCTGCTTCTCTCAGCTCAGTGCCTGGGAATGGCCCACATTCTCCAGCCTGCTCCTGCGCCTCTCCTCCCTTCTGATTCTTCCGGACACCAGCCATTAGTCCTTGAGAATGTGTACCCAAAGCAGCCATCCTTCTCACTTTCAACATGTACTACCATGTATTTTTACTCCTCTCATTAACAAAAAAGATTTTCTGGGGAGATTACATGGTGGCCTTAAGCAGGCAGTGCACTTACCCCATGCCTGAACTGGAAGGTATAGAGAAGGGGTAATTTTTCTCTCGTATATATGAGTTTTGCAGGGGTGGGGCTGAAGGTTCTGTGCCTCACCCTAGTTTCACTTGCAGCCCCTGGAGCTTTAGCTAGAGGGCCTTCACAGCTAAGCAACTTGTCCAAAGGTAAAAGGTTGCAGAAAGGACAGAATCTGTGGTAAGAGAACTAACCAGGAGGATGAAAGGGCTTGGTTGGCCTTTATCATCCTACCTGAAGAAGGCCTACAGCAAGACAGCTGTCAATCAGGGATTTGGAGTATCTGTATAAAACTAGAAGGAAGTCCTTTCTCCAGATGGGGCAGATGGTATCCTGGGCAGACATTCATCCTGTTTTCAGAATGGGGCATCAAGCAGATGTCTGACATGGGATGGGATGGAGATCGTTCTATACCATCTGGTGTAGTGCAGGCTCTTTGGGTTAAACTTTGCTTAAAAACACATGGTTTTGGAACAGATGCATGCATTTGCTGCTGAAACAGGAAACAGCAATACATTTGTCAGAACAGTGATATGTGTGTGTCTTTGGGGGGGTTTTCTCATAGGTGTCTGAAAAAATTCGAAGTGGTTTTCTCGCAGGATGGGAAAACATACCACCCAATCAGTGCCAAAAACAGCATATTTACAATGCTGGTCTCCAGTCCAGGTAAAGCTAAATGTCTGTCTTCATTTTAAATTGTAGGACCAACACAAATTAAGGTCATTTAAAGTTAACTAAAGTTCTTTCTGGTTTCAAATCCTTAACAGTGCCTCCAGATTTGTATTGAAAGGTGTAGAATGTTAATTACATTTTTTTTAAGAAGGGAAGTTTTATCTTGAAGGGATTGCTATCTTTTTCCAAATTGCGACAAGAAGAGTTAACAAACTCCTTAAGAAGTCTTCTGCAGCCCTAGTTTACTCATCTAGAGCATGATCCTGCACATGACTAGACAAAATAAAATCTTTATTCAGTCTGAGGACTGTAATCCTGCATCAAATTGCCTTTAAGGTATTTCATCTCTGTAGAATTAGACAGAAAAGGGGAAGAGAAATGCTAAACTACAAGATCATGCTGAAAAATGTTTTATTGATTGCTATGTTTTATTGAGTTCAAACCATTCAGAGAGCCAGCATAAATATACAAAAAATTATAAATAAATTGAAGAGGAGAGATTCTTTCAGGCTTTTAAATGCAGGCAGTCCCTGAGTTATGAACATCACATTACAAGCAACCCATACTTATGAACAAACAGCCATGCAGCCTATTAATTTTTAAAAAACAATTACTGGAGGGAAATTGCCATCACCATAGAGAGAAAGGAGACAAAAGGGATGAGAGGAAAGGCCTCCAAACCAGGCCTTCCTCCCCTGCCCATATGGGCGAGGGAAATCTCTCTAGCATTTCCTTGCTGCAAAGAAGAGGCCCTGGTAAGTTTGGGTAGGGGAGTTAGAGATTTCCATGGTTTTTCCATTTTCATGGTGGTCCTGCACCCCTGACCCCCATGAATGTGGACTGTACATGATCCAACTTAACATATGAATTTCCATTTTCTAAGCAACAGCACTCATTCGTAACTCATGGACTGTCTGTATATCAATGCAAGGCATAGGAGAGTTGAGAAGATAAGAATACCTTGGCTTTGATGTTGAGAGAGACAGCCTAGAATTTAGCCTAGAAAGCCATGCCATCTGAGGCATGCTGGAAGAAGTAGGACTTCTTTCTGTCTAAACAGAGTGGCATATCTGAATTGAAATGTTATAATCCGCTTAGAGAGTGTTTGGACTAGTTATAGTGAAATATAAGTTGAGTGAACAAACAAACTGTTCTCCCCAGAGCTGACCCACGGAACCAACAAACTGTGTGTTAAGCTGCACAGCATTCTGGAAAGAGCTTGACATTTGAAATGATTTCAAAACGGGAATTGAGATATTTCAGCATGCATGCCACCAGCATACCTTCTTTTCAAAGCTCTTGTGGCATATCCACAAGGTGCTTTTAGAACTGGTGGAGGGGAGACTGATAAGCAGTTTAGGGTTCTGTAATGTTAGTTATGTGACCCCCGAGCGCAGCATTTTAAATGTTAATATTATTGAATTTTATCTGGCCAGGGCAGCTTATTTTATATTGTATGTATTTTATTTTAATGTTTATATTTTTAATTATTATTATTTAACTAATTGTTGTAAGCCGCCCCGAGGCTTCAGCGAATGGGGCGGCATAAGAATGTTTTAATAAACAAACAAACAAACAAAGAAGGTGTGCCTTTGAGGGGTCAAATAGAGGAACATGAGTCTCCATCAGGACCATTTCCCAAACAGGTGGTGGTGGTGGGGGGGGGGGGGTTAGTACTATTTGCAGGTTCACTTTTTGAAACAGCCCTTTAGGAATTGTAGCAGAGTGGAATTCTGATGCCTGCCTGCCACTGTTCATTGATTCGGTTTCCCAGATGTTTCACACATAACACATTTCCCACTTAATCCCAAAGGAATCGGCTTTTTAAAAAATGCATAAAGACTAAACTGTAGATCAGTTAACTGAAATTTTCCTCAGAAGAAAAAGTATCCAGGACAAGAAGGTTCATGGTTTCATTGGCATTATATTTGTTCCTGAATGTTTGGAAGCCCCTAAATTTGGAGGCATCTGAGCATCCCATACAGGGTGATAGGGTGGTGGAGCCATTCTTTGCCTCCCCGTCCTTCTGCCCTCCATTTTTTGCTAGACTAGGTTTTTTGCCCCTCTTGCTGGGAGACTTCAGAGGGGGAGGGAGGGAGCAAGACTGGAGAGGCCTCATATAACTCATATTCTGGCCTCTCCAGACTTCTTCCCTCTCCACCCAATGAAATATTATTTTCCTTCTCTCAGAGGCTGTTTTGCCAACACAGCATCTGCTACAAGGGGGTAGGAGAGTGAGAGCAGATCTATGATTTTCCCTCCCAAGGTTAGAACACTGCCTCCGATTTCAGAGGTCAGACTCTCCAGTCTCTTATGGCCCTTCAGACAATGTTTAGGCACCATAAAATGGCTCCCTAAATGTATCTACACTGACAAACACGTGGAAGTATTTGTGACCTCAGTCTCTTTCAGTACATATATGTGGTCTCTCAAGGAAACCTCTCTTGGTGCCTATCAGACTTCCTAATTTTAACTTGATTCCTTAAGATTTTTTTTAACCACCACTGGGAGGCTGACATAACACAAAACGAAGTGCTGCCTCCAGTGCTAGCTGTATTTGGGTTCAAAAGAATGGCTTTCCATTTTGGATGCCATGTCTCACCTCTGCCTTGTTCTCGGGCAAGTTGCTTTTCCTTTAATCTCACCAGTGTGCGACATTTAGTCTCCCAGCTCATGGGTAATGACCGTCTTGTGACTGGCCCTGCTTATCATGGCAGCCATTTTTTTATTTTTTATTTTTTTTTGAACGAACAAGTCCTCTGGGGCACTCATTTTGTGAGAGCGCCCATGGCACTCTTAGAATTCTAATTGTGCCCACCCACCCAAAAAGGTTGAGGACCGTTTACTTATCATGTGTTGGGCTTTGTTTACAGGAACAACAGTCACAGGATTCTACAAGGTGCGTGCTGTGGATTACTGGGACAGACCTGGCCCTTTTTCTGTGCCAGCTTACTACAACGAAAAATCCTAAGAAGGAGCAAGAAGTTCCAGAAGGAAGCCTGCAGTTTTTTGACCAACACCTTGTAATGTGCAAGCTATGGCCCTTAAAGATACAATTCACTTGCACTTTAATAAACTTCCTCTCCCCTGCCCTTGCTTTCTTCTAAACTTCCTTTTCTAAGCTCCTTCAGCCCCGTCATTCCTCCCACCAATAGTATGTGGAGATTTTCACCCAGACATCTCCAAGTCCTGCTCCTGAAAGCACACACAAGGAAACATTTGAACAAAATGGTACCTCCCCCTGCCCCTCCTTCCTTTCCAGATCAGAGTGAGATGTTGGCAGGGCCTGCCCTAACATCAGGGAGAGTGAAATGGTTGCCTTGGGCAGTACGGTCCAGATGTCAATAAAGGGCAGCAGGTTCATTAGCCATGTCTTGGGTGCCTTTCTGCTTTGAGAGTGCTGGTCCAGGGATACCACTTAGATTTTCTAGCGCAGTCACCAAAATGGCATGGTGGCCAGGTCCTGGAAGCATTTCGCCTTCCTAAATTTGAGATTTGGGCTTGGGAAAGGGATGGCAGCCTGGGAGAGAAGCTCCTCCTGCCGCAGACTCCAGTCTTTTCTTGGAATTTTACACACGCACACAGCACTGGGAAGGGGGGGCTGTGAGAATCTGGACAGTGAGGGCAATAATCCTTCATCCTTGCTGAGAGGGGAATGCAGCAGAAATACCATGCCATGTAGCCAAGTGTTTGTGCAAGGGGCCAATCCACCATGGAGCTGTTCAGCCTTACTGAGCAATGGCATTTTTGGCACTGGGATGATATTTATGTGTAAATATTCACATGAATTGAAGGTTTGCGGGAGGGTTGGAACAGGGAATCCAGATTTTCATTTCTTCAAATGCTTAGACATGCCATGTCACAAAGTGTGTGCTTATTTCCACTTCATTCAAACTGTTCCTGTTTCATTCCCACCTTTTCCCTGAGGAAATGTACTGAAATGTACTAATAATGTATGGATAGCTGGCTATCAGGATATGTACCTTAGACTAACAAAACGGAGAGTTTAAAACAACATGCAGATTTCTGAGAAATGATGCAGCAGTGTGATGGAAAAGTGAGTCAGGGAACAAAGTTCGAAGTTCAAACTGATGAATTTGATAGGTTGCCTTTGGTGAGCCACTCTCAAGCCAGTGGAGGCCTTTAAAAAAATTTACCCAGAATGACTTAACTTGTGGAGCATGGGGGCCAAGGACCGATAGTAGCCCAGAAGCCACAGCACAGGAGCACAAGCAAAGGGTTTTTAAAGATAAAGAAAAAAGGGGGGTCCAAGGCAGGAGGTTCCCCCCTGCCCCGCCCACATCTGGGGGAGGTACTGGATGCTGATGTGGGCTCTGGTTCAAGCCCTGCTATCCCTGTTAGCTTGGAGAGACAAATGGAACAGGAAAAAGAAGTGTAAATCTACTAGAATAATGACATGCTGGAAAAAACAGCATGGGAGAGTAGAATACCATGCAACAATGCATTTTCAGGAAGAGCCTTGTATTTGTTATATTTTTGCAAAGTTTTGGTTATAAGAATTCAGAAATTCTGCTCGACCGCCAACTGTAGTTTTTGAAATCTTACATTAAAATGGATTTTAAATCAAAGCTGAATTGCATGTCTTTGCAAGGAGAAGTGATCTCTGATACACAGCATGGTTTTCATTTATTGTAAACCATTTCAGAGAGCCATTTGGCTGGTGACTGATATAAAAATATTCTAGATAAATAAATAAGGTGTCTCAGGGTTAGATCACACAGGCATACGTGGCACCTGGCTGCCACATCATCGGGGGTGTGAAGCGGCCATTGGCAATCAAGCCACTCATGTTCAAGTTTTCTTATTCTTCAGCAGCACTTCAAATGCTGTTTATTAGGGTGTGTGCATTGTGGGATTCAAACGTTTGGTGGAGAGTCATTAAGCCACTTGTATGAATGCCTTCTCTGAGACAGCTACTCTTTAGTTTCGATTTATATCCTGCCTTTCTCCTACAAAGAGCTCAAGGCAGCTTACATCTCTTCCTCCATCTTATCCCCACAACAACAACCCTGTGGGGTAGATTGGGCTGAGAGTCTGTGACTGGCCCAAAGTCACCCAGTTGGCTCCATGGCTGAGCGGGGACTAGAACCCAGATCGCCTGAGTCCCAGTCCCATGCTCTTAACCACTACACCACACTGGCTCTCTCTTTGGATGCTATCCTAGCTTCATGGGAGTCATAGGACATCCCATTGTAGCTGGGATTCACACATACCCAAATGTGCAGCGGCCAGGCACATGGGCTATCCAGTCATCTCTGTTCTGGCAGGGCCTGACCATGTGGTTAAGATTACAGTTCCTTTTTATGTGGTTGCTTCTCAAAAAATTTACTCCAAGTGCTTGAAAACCACCCATAGGAAAGCAAATCGCATGTGGTTAGGATGCAGGTTGAAAGCAGGACAAGTTGGGGCCCTCCAGATGTTTTGACTCCATCAGTTCTAGGCAGGCTAGCAAGTGATGGGAGATGATGGGACTTGTAGGTCAAAACACCTGCAAGACCACAAGTTGCCAACCTCTGCTCTGGAGGCCTGTATACAAACCACCATGATGGCTTGTGGATCTTTCAACCACAGAGTGAAAACTTGGTTCATCTTTAGAAAAGAGATTTCTCTCTCAGTGAGGATCAGTTTCTGAGACTCCCTCACATGGCTGACAGGTAAGCAGCAATTTGGGAATAGCCAGAAGCAGTGGGACCAGTCGGAAGACAGGACAGAAAAGTCAGGGATAACAGGAAGCTGAATCAAGGAGCAAGCTACAGGGCAGGACTAAAGAATAGTCAAGAATATGTGACCAAGCCAGAGCTCAGGAAAGCCTCATTGCTTGAGCCAGGCAATGCACTCCTTCCTGCCTGGATAGGTGGAGCCAGTCCAAGGCCTGAAGATACTTTGCCGAAAAACTCAATTACAGTTCAGTGGTTCTCCACATGGGGGTTGTTTAGTCGCAAAGTCGTGCCTGACCCATCACGACCCCATGGACAACATTTCTCCAGGCTCTCCTGTCCTCTACCATCCCTCAGAGTCCACCCAAGCCCACACCCACCACTCCAGTGACTCCATCTAGCCACCCCATCCTCTGCCATCCCCTTGTCCTTTTGCCATCAAACCACACAGGGGAGCCACACACAAATCCAGGAGCTCGGACTGATTTTCTGGACATGGCCCAGTCTGAGTGGAACTAGACATTACAGAAACACGACAGCCACACAGAGAGTTCCCCCTTTCCCCTCTGTAATGCCTAGTTTGGTTTATTCCATTTCTTTCCTTTGCAACATAGATTTCCACATGTTGGATCATATGGTTGGCCACTGCAGGTTTGCTCAAGGAAATGATCATAAAATGGGCCAGACATGGGATGGGTTTGAACAGAGGGCAGAACTTGACATGGGGCTTAGATTTGGAAGGCATCACAAGTTTTAGTGAAACGTGTTTTACTAAACAACACAGTTCTGCCTTCTGTGTGGAAAAGGGGACCATGGCCATAGGATTCCTAGATTTCCCCTACACAGCCCAAGGGAGCCATTTAAAAGATTACTTAAAAACTTTTATTGGCAAATATTACAGTAGTACACTTCTTTTGAGTTCACACAAGCTGTTTGTGTGGCACCCAAGCATGATAAAACCAAAAAAACAAGCCAGCAATTAGATGTGTTAGAGGAAAAGCTCTAATCCAAACTATTTGTGAAAGTCAGCTTCAAGATGCAGAGACTGGGCCTCTGTTCCAAATCAGGATTGGAGAGAATTTAACAAGCCCCTGCAGAGAAAAGCAAAAGAAGAACACATTGGTTGTTGCACTATTGTAACACGAGACCATCTTGCATTGTCCAATTGCAAAGCATTAGGCCACCATCCCATGTATGTATAAACTCCAAAAAGGTCTTTAGCTCCTAGTAAGCTGGTGAATGCCAGTGGTGTTGCCAGTGGGAACACAGGTAGGCTTTGCCCGGATCCTGGAGCTGCCCTGCTCGCCAGATTACCTACGAGGCTGTGAGGCTTGCCTGAGAGATTTCCTTTCGGAGGCAGAGGGGCCAGTTATTCCGACACTGCCTTCTCCCTGCCTGGAGGCTATATCAGTCTCTAAATGGTAACGTTAGAAGACCCAGAGGAATGGGCTGGCTCTCTTGTATGTGTAAGTTGTCCCTGGAGCAAGGCAGTTTTCACACAGGAGTCCCATCTTTTTATATGAGTTTGTACCTTTCCCACTTGGAAACCAGCCACATGTGGCTTCCATAGATCAGCTGACCTCCTGCTGAGTCACCTGATACTCTTAAAGTCAGCAACCCCCAGGACTGCATCACAGAGAGTTTCCTGGAAGTGTGGTTACCAAAAGCAGCTTTGACTCTCCCCATTCTAGAAAAGAGCAAATGGAAGGAAGGAAGGAAGGAAGGAAGGAAGGAAGGAAGGAAGGAAGGAAGGGATAGAAGAGAAAGAAGGAAGCATTTCTGCATACCTGACTGTAGCACAGGCTGGAACTGGCCAGACATGCAGATCTCTTCTTGCTTCTGGCGCACAATGCGCTGAATGGCTGGGGGGAGCCCACGGGGGTTGCGAGAGAAAATCAGGGAGTAGCCATCGTCGCAGGAGCCGTCCTCTTTCAGGCTGCGGCAGGCGTAGGTGATGGCATAGTTATCGTAGTCGGTATCAATCACCCAGTAGTTGTCACCTGTAATCATGCCAAGGGCCCAAAGTCAGGGAAAAAGCTCTGGCTTTTCTTATAGGGGAAAAGCAATGTGTACCCAGGCCTGTGTGAACATCTTAGCTTGACTGCATGTTTTTCTTATTATGTAAGGAGCAGGCCATTGGTGCTCTGACTGTCCACAGCTCTGAAGGCGACCTTTTGACGGGCAAGAATGTTGGGAAGGGCTTAGAGTCGTACTCAGGGAAGGAGAAGGAGCTGAGCAGGCAAAGTTCTCCTTTGTTTCTGCTTTTATCTCTGTTCATCTCTCTTTCTGTGAGTCAGGACTCATCTTCACTAACAGCTGCGAGTGGAAAGAACAGGGAAAATGAGCCACCAAGTAGAATGGGGAGAATGCTGGAACATGGAGGACCTTGACCATGGAAGACCTGAAGTGCCCTCCTAAGCATGCAGCACAGAAACCAAAAGAACTGAGAAAGGGCCCAAGCCTTCCCCCGATCACCAGTCTGTTGCATTTCTCCAATGGGTGAACCTTCCATGAGTCTGGCATAGAAACCTGGTGGGCTAGCAGGGAAGGGATCCATGTCTGCACCCCACCCAATCTCCATGCTGGATGTTCAGGAAAGAACTTGCACAAGGAACTAAAACAAAGCTTGGCACTCTGATGCGGACTTGAGTTGGACCAAACTTCGGTACAGAATGCGGCATGGTCTCCTGACAGTATTAAGGGGTGGGTACCTGAGCCCAGGGCCTTTTCAAGCTGCGCTCTCCACGATTTGGAACAGCCTCGCAGGGCAGGCTGACTGGGCCCCATTCACTGGCCGGGCCTTCTTAATACTTTGAATGCTGTTGCTGGCATTTTGCATTTTAGTTTTTTACAGTGCTCTGCTGGTTGTATTGCTTTTTTGTTTTTAAGAGTGATGACTGCATCTTTTTGTATTTGTTGCAAGAATGTTTTCCAGAAAGGGAGATGTGAATGCATATTTAAACAAGTCAGAGCAATGAAGGAAGGGCTGTTGATAAAGCAGCTCCTGCCCTGCACCTCAATATCTGGATGGGCTGGGCACTGGCAGCATGTTACCAGCATCTGGAGGAGCTCTTCTTCTGACTTGCAACCCTCCCATATTTTCCCAGCACTTCTTCCATCTTTTTCTTCCACACAAAACCCCACAAAGGATTAAAAGGTAGCTGTACAGCGGCAGTGCTCTGAGCTCGCCATCCAGAGGCATCCCTTGTTCCAAAAGTACATCATAACTCTGCAGCACTCCTAGGTTTACCAGCATGCACTGGGCTTCGCTACTTGCTGCATTCTTACCTCCACTTGACAAGTAGCTTGCCAGGCCTTGGTAATTCATGAACATTTTTGCTGGAGTGGCAGGATCAGGCACTGAATATTGAGCAGCCATGTCAGCACAGATCACCCAGAACCTGAAACAGGATGAAGGGAAGACAAATCTCAATATACAGCTTTGCTTATGCAGGATTCTCTCGCATCCCCTTCTACTTTCTACATTGCACATGTCCTGACAAAATGAGCAAAAGCTTTGCTCTAACGTGGGACTAAAAGACTGATGCTCTAAGAACAGCTTTTAGACTTAAGGTGAGATTCCTGATGCAAGTTCCTTGTTGCAAGTCCTGCTTCCCACCTGTGCCGTAGAGATGCTACTGTCCCTGTCCTGAAAGGGGCATACCTTAGACAGGTGAATGTCTACCTGTCCTGAGGTTCTTTCTGTGGCCCTGCTGGAGTCCCAGTCCTGTCTCTTGGAGTTCACCAGGCAGCTACACTTGTCTCCTGCTCTGGCCCTTCCCCCTGCAACGCCAATTGGTGTTGTCCCAGTTTTGGGGCAGCCCCTCACCTGCACCCCCAATTCACAAATGTTGACATGCCCTTCCTAAGGTATCTTTCTACCCAAGCCCCACTCTGTTTGGCCTTTGGCCACATGAACTTCTGGAATGCAGCCCCCAAGAGCTTCTCCAAAATTTAATGTGGCCCTCGGGTTGAAAGAGGTCCAATACCTTTGCTTTCAGAACCACACACATGATCATCTGCTGCAGGTTTTGAGACATTAGTGTGTTTTTCCCTATCTTTGATACTGCTTGAAGAACTGCTTGCTGGTTATATTAGTTATTAATATCTAGTTGCATGGGAAAGTCTCTGACTTGTGCATGATTGATGAATAATATAAACTGAGGTTGTGTTTTAATTATTCCTATTTTGAAATTAATTTCAAAATGACAGCATCAGTGGAAAGATTTGCTTCTCCAGGATGTTGTTATGTCTTGAAATGAATAGGAAACTGGCATATCAAAGAGATCAAGGTACATATTCTAGCCGTCTCCAGCCTTTTCGGAGTCCCACTTTTGGGAATTTGAAAAACTGCTCTGGACACTAGCACAAGATCTTCAGTTTGGCATCTACCAGTTGGATCTTTGCTGCATTTATTCAGCAAACACCTGTTTCGGGTCACTTGGACACTGCCGTGTCTCTTTAATAAGCAATTGTCTAATTTAGGTAATTGCTAACAATGTAGTACAGTTGGCCTTTCTTTTAAATGCATGTTTTGGCAATGTCCAGTAGCTGCTTCTTTTACAGGGATGTTATTATACAGATAATTTTTGTACTGTACAATCTTTACGATTCCTTGATGTCCGCACTCTTTTGAATTATTTATCTGCTTCATGGAACTTAACGAAAGGTCAGCATAAATAGATTATGTGCATCCTTTTATGAGTTAAAAGACTGCTATTTCACCATTGGAAGGACAACTACTCATCTCCTATAATGCAATGGACTGAGGACCACACAGCACTTTCAGTATTTGAACATATGACAAATAGATACCACCTTCAAATGGATACTTCTCTAGATATATTGTCCACTTTTGTGGAAACCAATGTAAAATTGATAGAAATTTGTATGTGCATCATACAAATCCATGTATTAAAACTGGATAAAACCATAATTAAGAAACTAAATCTTCAGGTTCCACATTGGGGACATCTTTGGGGACAGCACGGGAGGTTCCTGGGGGTGCCATTTTGTGGACCCCTGACATGCACTGCCCTGTAAACACGAAGAAGAATGGCATATAGAGCTCTAAAGTTATTTTTAAAAGAATTCATCTCCTTGGCAGGTGAACTTCACCTCTCAGATGTTTTGCTGCAGACACCATCTAGACCTTCGATCCTTTCCCATCTCACAACATCTACAGTCTGAAATGGCACAACGCAGCAGAAGGAGCACCAGCCATTCACTCTGGGTGTGTTTTTGCTCCTCAAAAGTGGGTGAAAAGCACCAAACTCCATTTATCAGGATTCTTTGGACCTGATATAAACACACATATTAACTCAATTTCTTCGTCCTCCTTGGTGTGTACAATGAATAGTCAGTAGCTGAGCGTATGAACAGAGTCTACTGAAAAGCATCATGTTGGAGAAGACGCAAAGAGCTAGGAAGGTTATGCCTGTAGTATTAAAAAAAATCTGTGACAGCTCATTTACACAGCCATCATAATTGTGTGCGTGCAGCATCCTTTGGTGTTGCAATCCTCACATGCGAAGCAAACCATCCCTCAGCTGGAAAAGACACATTTCCAGCATTCAGCATCTACCCTTAATAAAGATACTGGTTGAAAAAGGCGACCTTGAATGGGTTCATGGTAGCAGTCAGGCTGTGGAAAGTGTCATTGCTCGAATTTAGCCCAGCAACATGCCTCCAATTTACAAAACTGTTCAGGGCAGTGCCAGGGGGCAGTTGGAGGTGAGCCCCCGCCTTCCTTTTTTCAGCACGCCTATTTTTTTTCCACTACTGCTTCTTTCTTCACTTTATAGCATCAGTGCTACTTTTTAAAAATAAAGAAAAGGGCTTCTTTCTGATATTACACCAGCCAATCAGAGAACATGTAAATTGGTTGTTATGCAGCGAAGTCGCAGTGATGTCAGGAAGCATTGCCCTTACTCCAGAGTTCCTAATTATGGCATGTAGCCAACCAGATTATGCTATGTGATAATAATGATGATCAACTGAATTTTCTTAGACACCTTTCTTTTAAACAAAGCCATGAAGCAACTTCAAATAATATCAATGAAATATACAAAAAGTAAAATAGATTGTATCATAGAGCCAAATCATACTGAAGGCAATGCTTTCTGCCCTCATTTGGTAAGGGTGAACTTCTGTGCCCCATTTCACACAATTCCTCCAGCAACTGTTGAAATGGTTAAGCTTTGCAGGAAGTCATTTTTATTTTTAAGCAAAATGGCCTCCTCCCATTCTAGCTCCAGCCTACAACCTAGAGATCAACAGAGCAGCATGGATTTGCCATCCTGATCACAGGAATGGATGAGCAGGTCATAGGACCAGGTGGCCAGTGATACACAGGAGCAGTAGTTGCCAAATCACCAACTTTTGTGCCTTACCCAAAAAGCTTCACTCTCCCTTTAGAAGATGCAATCATGGTACCATCCTCCTCAATCGTGTATTCAGCTGAGATGTTATCCTGTAGAAACAGGCCTTCTGGGTCTTTCTTGGCCAGTGCATACCATTTGCCTGCATACTAAAATGCAAAGAACATGTAAGATAACCAGGATGGACAGCCACCATATGTCATCAAGCTTGAATATTAACCGGAACAGAAGGAGATGGGAAACAGGTGATGGGAAAGACTAAACCAGCAAACTGATGGGCAAAAATTTTAAGCAAACTGGTTTCCATAATCTAAATCCAAACCATCAGCAATTAAGCAAACCCCAGCCCTGCCTCCTCCAATCTTTCCCCACAAGATAGTGTGGCATTCTTGAGGGCCAGTTCCTCAGCAGAATCAGCTCATCAATCTTCTCCTGGGATGTTCTGCTGCAGGTGGGGCACTCGCAACTTCCTCTCAGCTGCCCCACCGAGTGGGGCCGGCTCTACTGAGCCTAAGTGACAAGAGGATCGATTTCAGATGAACACTGGCAGAAACCTGTAGATGCTCAGGGCAGTTTGACTATGGAGTCAATTATCTGTGAGGGCAGGAGGTTCTCCCTCTCTGGAGGTTTTCAGGCAGAGCGCCAGACAGCCAGGGAGGATGTTCTAGCTTTGGCTCCCAGCACAAAGAAGTGGAATGAACCAGATGACTTGCAAGCTCCCTTACGACTCTTGTACGATCATTCCTTGCTGTCTCATCAGCAGGAGCATGGAAGCCACCATGTCACAGCAGCTGCCTTGCTCTTGATGCAACATATAGACCAAGTAGGCCTGAAGCTACTTGACCAGAGTAGGGGTGCCCCTCCCAAAAAATATATCTGCCTCCAGTGTATTTTTTAACTTTTCTTTATAAATTGCACCAAAAAAAAAAGTTTTAGTCTGACTATGGTGCTGTTACACTGTCCAGCCGACCCAACAGAAAGCTGTTGCTGGATCACAGCTAGGTTCCCAGAAGGTACCCTACGTTTACAAACAGTGACTGGATTTTAAAAGATTACAAAGCATTCAGAGGCAATGGACAAACATGAAAAAGCGTGGCTTGCGATTTTACTTTTGCAAATGACTCGCACCAAGCTGTAGTCCTTGACATGATAAAGAGTTCATAGTTACCCGCTTGGGGTCAAAGTCCTCTTTCACAGAGAAAGACTCCACTGCACAGGAGGACTGGGCCCAGCAGTAATCAATGATGGAGGCCACGATCACGAGGAGTGTGGACTGAGCGTATCTCATCCTGTGAAGAAAGACAGTCGTTCAGCCCCCAGTTAGCAGCTTGCTCTCCTGACCAAACACAATGGCATTCATTCTCTGCTATCCTATTTGCTTAATTATTGGAGAAAACCCTCCAAACACATGGAATTCAGCAAGGCTCCTGACAGGTGCCGTGAGCTCTAACTATCTGCGCCAAATTAGATAGCTGGGGGAAGGAACACTGCCCTGTCTGTCACAGAAACATGCTTGAATTTAGCAACACGAGAGCACGCACTGCTAATCTTGTACAGCATTAGGCATTTAAAAAAAGAAAAGCAGAACAAAAACCACACAAGTGAGCTTTTACTGTTCCAGATACTGAATTGCCTCTATGTCTCTTGCAGAGCAATTGCATGGTGGAGGTTGCTGGGGGTGGTGAGATGAGGTACCACCACTTCCTAACTTTGCTGGCTTACTGCAGCCAGAGCAAGGGGATTAACAATGGAAGGGGATTAACAATGTCAGGTCTAGGGCTAGTGTAGTTGAGGGAGCCTAGGAGGAAGGATCTTCAGCTGCCGCTGTCATGCCCCATTCCCTCAATGCATTGGCAGAACGCTGCTGGTGAGACATTTATCTCCAAGCTGGTTTCCATGAGTGTCCTGGGGGCCTCGGGGAACATAAGTGCCTTTCTGCTTTCAGGCCTCCCTCTCTGCCTATGGAGCCACGTTGCATCATATCCAATCACAGAATCATAGAATAGTAGAGTTGGAAGGGGCCAAGAAGGTGGCTGTTGTTTCTTTTTGAATGTCACTAGTGTGGGAGAGCTTACCACCTCCCTAGGCAACTGGTTCCCCTGTCGTATTGCTCTGAGAGCGAGGAAGCTTTTCCTGATGTCCAGCCTGAATCTGGGTTGTCGCAACTTGACTTGAATATTCCATGTCCTACACTCTGATATGAGCAAGAAGAGATCTTGTCCTTCCTCTTTGTGACAGCCTTTGAGGTACTTATAGAGGGTTATCATGTCCCCCTCAGTCTTCTCCAGGCTGAACATGCCCAGTTCTCTCAGTCTCCCCTAATAGAGCAATGTTTCTAAACCCTGGATCATTCTTGTTGCCCTCCTCTGGATCCTTTCTACTTTTTCTCCATCATTTATTTTATTTTATTTTATTTTATTTTATTTAAAACATTTTTATGCCACCCCCATCGCAACTAAGCCTCGGGGCGACTCACAACAAAAACAAAATACATAAATATAACAATTATACAAGTAAAAATATTAAAACCTGGTGCATCTCAGCTTAAAAGATTTAAAATCCTATAAATACAAATAAATTAACAATTAAAATGAGTTTTAAATAAAAAGGTCTTAGCCTGGCGCCGAAAAACAAATAACGACTGCGCCAGGCGGACCTCTCTGGGGAGCACATTCCATAGATGGGCCGCCACCGCAGAGAAAGCCCTCCTCCGAGTACTCACCCTCCTAATATTCACAGAGGGTTCCCGGAGAAGGGCATCTGTTGCTGATCTCAAGGGGCGGGAGGGCATATATATGGATGCATGGACAGTATTCCAGGTGAAGTCTAACTAGTGAGGAGTATAGGGGAACTACTACTTCTCATAATTTGGATGTAATATTTCTGTTAATGCATCCCAAAATAACATTTGCCCCTTTTTGTGGCTGTATCTCATTGTTGGTTTATATTTTGCCTGTTGCCAAAGATAACTCCAAGGTCTTTTTCCTTTTCAGTTTTGTTTAGCCACGTATTCCCCATCTTGTATCGATGCATTTGGGTTTTTTTTTCCCTTAGCCAATCTCTGGCCAACTTTAGGATGGCATATCCAATAATGTTTGGAGAAATGTGTTGGTCTAAGTGTTGCCACCATTTGCTAGTTTGTAAACTGTGGTTTAAATTTATCTGGCAATTTCAGACTGTGGTTTTAAATGTCTTGTATATTTTGCAGATTCTGCAGCAAATTACTCTCATTTGTGCCTCATTAGTTTATATGTTTCCCAGCTATCTAGTACTTTCCTTAAATCAGTGGCATTTCTGAAATGATTGCAGTGCCATTCTGGGCATATTTTCTTAAAAGAACACTCTCCTAGGGGCTGAATGAGATGCTATGTAAAATGCAGAGTCTATGTGATCCTACCATTTGGTTCTGCTCTTCAGCAAGTGCACAGGGACATGATCTGAATCAGGACCACCATGGGCAGGTGCAAGGAGATGGGTAGGTTATACTTTCCCACACAGGTAGTTCTCTAATCTGCCACCCTCTAATCTAGGAGCTAAAGGGGGTATAAGATTACTGCCTTGCAGCACACCCTCTCTGTCAGCTCTTAGAGTCCCAGTCCAGGGACAGCTGCATCTAGACCACGTTCTTCTTTAAGCAGCAAAAACACTGTCTAGCCTGCAGATGGAGGTTCACAAGACCAAAGCCTCTTCCATACCAAGCCATCTGCATTGCAAAAAGGCAAGGAATGCACTTCCCATCTAGCAAATCACATGCGGTGATAAAGTTCTATTTCTGTACCTCATCTAGGTCTATAGCATGCTGCACTGCAGCCAAAGGTGCCAACCTCAGCATTTGGAGGTGGAAGTTCAGGCAAGACACCCTCTGTGGACTCCATTTGCCTAAGAAGCAACCTCACACTTCTCTTGCCCAGCCTTCTTGGATGTTCTGTGCAAAGGAAGAGCAACCATCTTCTAGGGGAGGTTGACAATTAGCTAGGCTTGAGCCTCAGGATTTCTCCGGCTTCTGGTGGCTGGGACTTGACACGTTCCCAGTTCTTTGCAGTGTCCCTGACCCAGCCAGATAATCTACCTGCAGATCATACAGAGCAGTTGGTCCACAGGACATGTGGTGCCTGTCAGCCTCCCTTGCTTTAAGGTCATGAGAAAGGACACCAGCAGCAGCTGCTATGGGGCTGGTTAAGCTAGCCTTAAACTGAGAGCAAACAGATTCCCATAATCCAAATCCAAGCCACAAGCAATCAAGCATGGTGTTGGGTGCAGGATCCAGCACAGCCCCCTGGAACCCTTCCAAAGGATTGATGTGACATTGCGGAGGGCTCAGCTGCACCGTCAGTAGAATTGAATGGTGATGCTTCCCTGAATTTAAGCCCTTTTTGGAAGGAATGGAACCACATCTCCATTGGTTCAGGTGCTACCATTAGCACAGTGGACCTAGGGCAGTACAAAGATGGCACAGGCACCAGGCCTCGCCTATCAAGAAGTGCCCATTTTTCATCCCCTAACCATGGAGTCCAGGTCTCTAATCTCTAATCCTAAACATGCAGAAAGCAAGCAAAAGCAACTCATGATCACTGGGGCGAATGGCCCCACACTGCATCTGAGCTTATTCATCAGGCATCCCATTAAAAAATGGCTAATGGTTTTATTTGTTTGTTACTATACTACACCCATTCTTTGTTTCCTACTATCAACCCAAAGCAGGCTGCACGATCCTCTTCCTCCATTGCTTTTTATCCTCACAACAACCTTGTGGGGCACATCAGGCTGAGAATCAGGGATTGGCTCAAAGCCACCCTGTGAACTTCATGGCTGAGTGGGAACTAGAATCTGGATCGCCTTCATCCCAGCCTGCTACACCGCACCAGCTCTTCAGTGTATGCTGAAAACACCTGCGATTTTCTATCCAAGCCACTGACGCCTCTAAGCAGATGAATCAACAAGGGGGTCAAACAAAGCTGAAATAAAATAGCATGAATGTGCATATTGAAAGACCTACCTGATGGATTCTGAAGCTTCTGCAATTAACTCCCAGTAGCTGATTCTTGTTGCTCTGAAGATGTCTGCGTACGGAAGGCTCTGTATGAGCTGCCTTTAAATAAGGTGTCTGGAGAGGCGTTAATTGGCTGTCTCCTGGACCAGAGTAAGATGCTTACCTCTGGATAATCCATTATGTAAAATCCATCAGCATAATCCTCACACTCCACCATCTATCTGCTATTCTCAAACACTCGTGGCTTTTACATAATCAGAGAAAGCATCCTGACCATCAGTACTCGTTTGCCATATTCAGCCCTCTCTGTACTCCGGAACACGTGGACGGCTAAATCACGCACCCAAAGCATGTAATACAAGGAACAAGGTATCCCAAGGCTTTCCCCTAGAAGTGCAAAACATCTGATGTATATTTGGCAGAAGGATTCCTTGGCTGGCCCCAACCTGCTTAGCTTTCTCTAAACAAATCATGTGCCGCCAGACCATTCTTTTTGCCTCGTTGCCCCAAACAGTAAATATGTTAAAACACGCTCCTTAAATGCTTACTCCTCACACCTCTCCTTGCTCAGTGGGTACGCCTCAGACCCACATTTGTTGCTCTCCCCGCCTGGAGCTGAAGCAAGGATAGCTGAAGTCCCAGTGGAGACGTTGTGATCATGAGAATTCAGTGGAGCCACCAGAGGAAGAGGAAACAGTAGCCTTTCCCTTGTGCTTAAGTCCAACATCAGGACCTGTTGAACTTCATAACAAAGTCTAGAGCCTGCAATGACTGGTTTCCTTCTCCCTCCCAATCCCCTTTCCTTTTATGTCATGTGTTTTAGATTGTAAGTATGTACTAGCTAACTGGCAATCTAGACTTTGCCCAGATTTCATTATTTATTTGTGAATGCTTATTGCTTGAGATGTTTCTCAAACAATTAAGCTAAATTTACATAAGTTGATTAATGAGATCTTTCAGGACATTACTAAATGCACATTTTAAAAGCTGAGTTTATTAGGTACGGTAAATACACTTAAAATGAATGTTTTCTGTTTATGTTTTATCTGGTACTCATACCTAACAACTATTTCCAAAAATGTAATGCTTTGTTGTGTAAACTCCAAGGGGATTTGACTCCACCATGAATATCTTTGAAAAGAATGAAAATTCCAGTAAAAGGTCTCCCAGATCTCTCTTTATATCAGGTCTATTTGTTAATTTGTACTAAATGATCTACAAGATCTTCTTTAGATTTTCTCTAGATTGACCAATTTCTAGAGGTATAATGCAGTTAATGCTTCTGTCACTCCTATGTT